GAACACGTTTTAGCAATTATGTTCTGATATAAAATATTAGAACAGACTTCCTGCGTGGAAAATTTTTTATTAGAGAAATAGTAAAACGAACTGAGCAGTAATAAAGCAATAGATACAAGTATGATGCATCGAACGTCCATGATTCAACTCTACTTATCCTTAAATACAACCGCGTACAAATCACAGAAATTATGCTGGAATTCTCGGATTTAGAGGTTCGTGACAGCGCAAGTTCGACAAGCCTGATGTCGTCATCGCTGGAAGCAGACGTCGTTTTACTCTTTGCTAGATCGATGAAGTAATATCCCGATTAACAGGCACGATGACGCGTTGGCTAGGGATGGGATCAAGTCCAACATGTACTTTGTATGAAAATTTCGTTTTCACGGGCTTTCGAATTGTTTCAATGATTACACTTGTATGCCAGTTCAAATTCTAGAACGGGTAAGAATAAGTAACACGTGCTCATATGTTCGATATTCGTAAGATTGGAATGTGCTTCGTTCAGTCAAGAAAATGTCACATTAAAAATCGTCCAACGTGGACTTCGTGGATTCTTTGAATTAAAAAGTACATATATTCTCAATTGTTCTTTATTATCTGTCTTCTCTAGTAAGTCTTGCAGTATTAAAAATACTAGCGTACAGAGTGGCATGTTCCATCCAATTGAGAAATGATCAGCATACGTCGAAATGCTGACGCTTATAAGAAGTTCCATACTTGCGAGCTCCATACATACTCGATTTCATCGCCAATCTAGAAACTGATGTCTTCATTTCTTTAGAAATAGTCGCGAAACATTCGAAACTATTATCCAATCGACAACCAAATGCTTGAACATACTCGTGAGGTACTCGATTCCGTTTCTAGCATTCGCCATGCACACACACACCCTAATATGATCAACGAAGCTGAATCCTTGGCTATAAGTGGATCAACGATATTCCAGAAATTCCAGGCAAGAGACGCGATTTCCAACATCTGCACACTCCAGACTGTAATAGGTATCAAAGATCGGCATCGGCAGCTTAAAACGGGACGTCTGGATTCGTGAGACATCGTCGAAGAAACCGGTCGATCGTCTCGTTTCGCTAACGGGTCAGCTGAAAGTTTAAAGGCCTACTGAATGGAGCGAGCCAGCCTGAAAGAATCCGCTCTTTTTCGTCGACGTCGCGAGGAGATCCTTTCAAGAGGCGCGTGGGTTTCATCTGGCCGTGTGTGTCAAAGGGTATTATTGTAAACGAGGGTCGCGTGATCCACGGCACACGCCCACACCGATCTTGTACACATGCTCGGTGACAGGCTACGTGGACAACGTTCTCATCCTTCGCGAGCATTAAAGAGCTATCGTCTTTAATGAATGAATTCATACTCATTCTCGTGGTACAGAGTGCACAACTGGCTTTCAACATGCGCACCGTTGCTTCACCTTGGTACGTAAAAATAGACGAAATCGAGGTTCTGATCGGTTGCATCGGGATTATTCGTTCCGTCATCGAGAATCGAATTTTGTTCGAATTCGAGGGAATTCCTAAACGGTTAGGCAACGCAAGAAAATACGAGACGAGGAATATATCTGGTCGAGAGAATGCATTACTATTCGAACAAAAACACATTTTCTTAAAAAAGTATCTTGGTGTTTAAAGATGTAGATAAAATTCTTCAATAACATTGTAACTATCATTAAAGTACGAAATTTTTATCTTATTATATATAATTCTTATATTGTTATATATATATAATTCTTGTAATATATAGAATAATACAATAAAGAACACAAGTCTCTCATTCAAATTTCCAAAATTGGCTCCGTTTCAAGTACATGAAATTTCTATGAAAAATTACCAATTGATCATTTCGGCTATATTGGTAATTATAATTGTACCAATGAAAAACAGAATTCAATCTTCTCTCAGAGACGAGTAGTTCATAGTTGAGGTCTAAGGCCAATAAAACCTGAATTACGACGAATTGAAAAGTCGTTACACGTCGTGAGTACTAGGCCGTGATTTCCGTATGTTAATAGAACCGTGAATACAAGGAAGAACACAAGCTGAATTCACGAAAAATTGAATTCTTCAAATTTCTTCCGTTCTTTCAATTTGTATGAAAAATCACCGATTGATCACTCTGACAATTTTACATTGCACCAATGAAATAAAAGTTCAGACCACCAGTGGTACACGTTAAACTTGATTTTCAGGCCACGTGTACCACAAGTGGTACACGATGTGATAGCTACTCTAAACAAGAGAACTACTTATTATCGATTGCTTATATAATGAAAGATTGTGTGATAATATATCTAATAATAATATGATAATATATCAATAATATATATAATTGTGTGATATATATCACCTTTAGTCAAAATATCAAATCGCCTGAACGACAAGTCAGGCAAAAATGGCTTGGCACGGAACGTGTTAAGGTATAAAATCAATGAAACTAAAGTTACGACTAAACCTACTAAAAAAAAA